CGGTTCTGGCTGCTAATCCAAGCGCCTTCAGCAATCTGCTGGCGCGTGTTTTATGCGCACTCGAGGTGCCCATAACCCAAAGCACTCCCCAATGGAAAGTTTTGCTTTAATGTGGTGTGTGTGTTTGTGCTTAATGCAACAGCCTGCCTGGTCCATCTACATCTAAGCCATAGTCATGGCTGGCCGGTTGGCTTGCTTAAGCCGCAGCGCGTGGCTCTTTGCAGAGACATCAGCAAGACGCGGAGTGAGTGGAGTGCGGAGCGAGATTGTAGAGTGTTTAGTTGTTGGGTTTTTAATTATGAGCCCTGCCAGCTACGCATCCTGCTGCCATGACTTTTTATTGGATATGTAATTACTTTTGGCCCTGGGCGCTTCCAAATTACAGACGCATATTTTTTATAATTACAACGCGCAGCAGCAGCAGCAGCAGCGGCAGTGGCAGTGGCAGAAGCCCATCAAAAAGTTGCGACTGCCGTTTGGCCAAAAGTTGTTGGCCATTTTGATACTCCGCTAATGATGTACGTGTATACGCATCAAATGGCCAACAAAATGCCGTTGAGCATGAAATCATAATTAATCCATTGACCTTTAACACGCCGCTGGGCGGGCAGTGGGCGTGGTCGCGCGAATGCTGCACATGTGCGCTGCTGCTAGTTTCACGTAATTAAAGGCCGTTAAGAGCGGGATTACGATATCATTATCAAGCCTCAAATTTATTTCATTTTATGAAATTTATCTGCACATGTCACATTTATTATTTAAATTAAACTGTTTTGGTTTTTAATGTATCTATTTCTTGGTAACATTATGATAATTATATATATGTATATATATAAGCTAAACATGCGGATTATTTAGAATTATGTTTGCTCATTACTTATATTCAATCTCTACTCAAAGAGCTTGAGGCCGTCCAAGGTTCATCATTGCCCGACTAAAAGGTTAAATAACAGCATATGGAAGCGTCTGCCTGCTCTTGATGCACAGTGTGGCAAACAGGCATAAGAAATGTGTTTTTAATATACATATTGAGCAGCAATAGCTGAGGGAATTGTCTGCCTGATGATCTTTGCTCTGCTCAAAAGCCGCGCCCACTGTTGCTGATGATGTGGCTGATGAGCCAGCCATTATGTTGTCTGTGCTGAAATTTGAATTTGCATATACACACACAATTCGTGTAACTATGTGTGTGTGTGTGTGCTGGTGTGTTTGTAGGCGCTTCAGGTTTTTCGCCTAGCTGTAGGCTCGAACGCAACAGACCTAATTTGAGTAATTCGAGGTCTCATTTGAACGCATTACTATTCAGTTTGCGTACGGATCTGACGGCGCCGAGTCGAGGTGAGTGGAGGCTAAGCGTTTGCTCATTTTGGTAACACACTTGAATTATGAGCTTCGGTGAATGCGGTGCCAACTGCCAGGACTTTCACATAACTGAGTGGTGAGGGGCTAGGGGCGGTGCCACTCCCCATGCCAATGGGATTGCCCCCAAGTAGCTGGCCGCAAACACAACAAAAACAATTCAAGTGTTATTGCACGTTTCGCTTACATGTCCTGGGCCATGCAGTGTCCGTGTCCTGCTGCCTGCTGGCAGCTCCTTCGCATTTGTTTATGTTAGCCAAGCAATTGTGGCTGCAGGGCGTGGCAGGGGGCGTGGGACGAGGGGTGTGGGCTGGCTGCTGTCGCCATTTTGTCGCCGAGTGCAATAACTGTTGAGATCACACAACTTACGAGGTCCTTTCGCAACAAAATACACACACACACACGCCCACACACACACATAGACACACATAGTCTATGCGTTGTTGTGGCCTGTAAATTAATCGGCTTAGAAGCCAAAATAAACAAAGGGAGTGAGAGAGAGAGAGAGAGAGAGAAACTCAGTTCTGTCAAGATTGAAAGGATTTTTTCGATTCGAATGGACTTTGTATTGAGTAGATTGCGTAAAGCATCTAGCATCGGCTTATTGTGCCTAGGCCGATTTAATTGAAAGCTTAAGCAAAGGTTTCCTTTAGGATACATTTCCACAAAACATAGCCATGCAGCAAACTGCATTCCAATTGGCCAGGGGCTGAGTAATGGTCGGAAAGCAGGGCGGGGTGCTTGGGGCTGTGGTAGCTCCCACATTTACTCTTTCGTTTCGTTTTCAATTTGCATTTTTACGGCGTTTCACATTTGAAGCTCGACATTCTCATTTTTTCCATAGTTTTTTTTTTCTTGCGGGTCCAGGCGGCCATTTACCTTTTTACATTTTAACCGGAGACCTTATCGGCACGCCCAAATCTCACGCATACCCAGTCACACTCACACTCACACTCGCGCTCACATTCGCATTCGTCCAATTCGTGGCGAAATTTATGGGTTTTTTTGCGCTTTTCGAAAAACTGAAAACTTGAAAAAAACGAGAGCGAAAAAATGGGATAGAAATTGTACCTTTATCAGGGCCTGACAAGAACGTGAAATGAAATAATTTAAAAATGCAAATTTTTTTTGCTGGCTGCCGGCCCGTTGAAGCAAAAGCAAAGGCCTGCAATCAGCCTAAAACCCGAGGCTAGACGTCTGATTTTTGGCCCAGTTGCGGGCTGGCCGACCTATTTGCGGTTCGGCTGGACCCTTTGGGGCCATATGCTGCGTGTTGGCCAAGATTCTGGGAGAGAATTTCAAGAAATGTACCGGGGGCACATGAACTCAATTAGACAACTCCATCAAGTGGCAAACGCAGTGACAAATCGAATCCCAACTTAAGACTCATTCAAATTAATCGCTTTGTAAAACAAAACTCAAACAGAGCCCGAACAAAAACTGGCGCAGAATGAAGAAATGGCATGAGTGAAGAGCAAAATCGCTTGTAACTTGTTTCAAACTGCTTTCGGATTCATCGTCGCAGTTCGATTCGTGTGGGTGGCGGCGGCTAAACTTTCCGCATGAATGCCGTTGAGCTCTGAGTTCTGCTAACAGAGTTCACGCCCTCATCATTTTCTCATCATTTTTTTCTCCCTCTCTCTCTCTCTTTCTCTCTCTCTCTCTCTCTCTCTTTCTCTGCTGCTGCTTCTACTGTTGCCTATTGACCCGGAGGCGACAAGTCCTTTAGAAGGTCGTGACAGCAACTTTTGCCAGCGAAAAGTTAAGATGTATGGCAACCTAATCACTGGCAAAACTGTTACACACAAACACACACGCACCCACACATGCAGTTGGGAAAATCTGCTGGCCTCAGTGATTAGCCTTTAATCTCTTAATATAGTTTTTGCAAACTTTTGCTTGCGATTGATTTCTCTAAATAGTCAAGTATTTTATTCAATTATTAAAAACTCATACATAATGAAACAACAGAATGAAAAGCACAATCATAAATGCAATTTCAAGCATACGTATATATACATATACATAAATAATTGATACATTTTAATAGCTGCTTTTAGCTATTGTTGCAAACCGAGCAAGCATTTGCAATATTCATAAACGAATCGCAACTTTTGCCCCAGCACGTGAATTCGCTTCTCTTTGTTTTATTTCCCTTAATTTTTCAAGCATACGCACTGTGTGCTCTTTTAAGAGACCGTAGCCCGTGCCAGGCAAAAAGTTTTCAACGGCCCAGCAGAGCCCCTCCCCTGCGCTCCACCACCTCGTCGGGAAAGCGAAAACCAACTGAAAGGCTGCAACATTTTTTTTACGATTTTAATTAGCATAAAAGCGTAATTGAAAATTAACTGAAATGAAATTTATACACGTATACATAACAAGCGAATGGGAAGGCTTCAGATGGCTCTACACTGACTATAAAGCTGTGCGCACACAACGCATATTAATCGGCATCCCTGAATACTTGCTAATTATTTCAGCTCTGCTTGCAACAGCTTCTTTATTCAATTTTTAATACGCCTCGCAGATATTAAAATTTCATATGAAATTTTGTAGCTATTTGTTTAGGATTTGGGGCATATTTATATCTGATTCGGTTTACAAAAATCGATTGAATTCGTTGTCAATAGTTGCAGCCAAATATCTGCTTTTAATTAGGCAAATATTTATTCAGGCCTTTGAGAAAACATTGAATGCAATTTACTATAATTTCTGCGAAAAATATTGTGAAAGATGAGCCCAGAGCTGAGTTGAGTGAGATGCCTTCATATGGCTAAGAATATGCATTATTTCGTATTTTATTTAAATAAAGATATTTAATTTCAATGAATAAATGTATGCATGCCTTCAGTTAAGTTTCTTTTAGCTCTTTGGCTTTAATATGCATCACAATTTTAAATGAATTTTAAATAAATTAAAATTTAACTCGGTTGAGGGTATATAAATTCTGCACAGTATTTTTATACCCTGAACCCATTGAAAATGGGAAATCAGGGTATAATGGTTTTGTTAAAAGTATGTAACAGGCAGAAGGAGGCGTGGCAGACCCCACAAAGTATATATATTCTTGATCAGGGCGACGAGCTGAGTCGATTTGGCCCTGTCCGTCTGTCTGTCCGTCCGTCCGTCCGTCCGTCCGTCCGTCCGTATGTATGAACGCGTCGATTTCAGAAGATATAAGAGCTAGAGACTTCAAATTTTTTTTNCAAAAGAAATTATTTAACAAATAAATTCTCATAATATTGCCCACACTGCAGCGCAGCCCAAGCGCAGTCGCTGCTTACTGCGCAGTTAGCAGAGCGCAGGCTTATACGTGCGTGTGGATGCATATGTATGTATGTGTGCATAAAAGAAGTGCAGAATGATTAGAATATCAGCTTDSAGGGTTCAGGGTATCTCSTAGTCGAGCAGTCTCGACTGGAGCTTTCTTACTTGTTTTTATTATTATTTTTTTTTCAGCTTCAATTACAGCTTTAATTTAAGTTTTGTTCAAGCTTTAAATATATATACATGAATTTTCTCTTTTTTTTTATATATGTATATATATCCTTTATATATATAGTCTTTATCACAGCTGCAGCAATTTACATAAATAAAGTACACCCTTATATGCGTGTGTATTTTTTTTTCTTTATCCACAGACTTTGTCACCTGCAGCTCAGCCTACGAGCAGCGGAGGATTGGCACAGTGCCGCAGCTAACGGCATACCCGAGATCCACTTTACCAGATAGCCCAATGACAACACAAAACGATCTAATTACGACAGACCCAAACTCAACAGCATTACTGACAGCACAGAAACCAACAACAACAGCAACAACAACGGCAACAACAACAACAGCAAGTACAACTGGCTACTGGAGCACGACCCTGGGAATGTCATCAGCAGCTCCAACGATAACAAGGAATGCCACTGGGAGGTTGGCAAGAGGAGCTGTAGATGTAGCTGCTAAGTCCGCACAAATTGGCCTAACTACGCAGCCCGCAACAGCGGCCGAAATACAAACAACAACCGATTCGACAACAGCAACAGCAACAAGAACAACAACAACAACGACGATGACAACGACAATGTCGACGGCGATGGCGCTGTTCATATCAACAATTTATCCGACATCAACAACAGAGCGCGCAATGGCTGCGCCGCCAGCCCTGACAGAAGCGGAAGCCAGCAACTCCATTGAAACAGCAACGTCACGGCCACCGGAGCAGGAGGTAGAGGAGGCGGCTGAGGCGGTGGCTGCGAAGGCTGAGGCGGAGGCGGAGGCGGAGGTGGAGGAAAATGCGGTGTTGCAGCATCCTCATCCGGCCAACGCTGATTCACTGACTAAAGGTTTCTCCATACCCACATTTTTGCCGCCGTTTCCCGTGTTCGCGGCCGCAGATTTGCCAGCTTACCGCGCTGCTGCCGCTGCYGCTGCTGCAGCTGAAGCAGAAGCCGCCGCAGCGGCCGCAGCAGCGACATCCACTCCTGCAGCAGAGACTGTGACACTGTCACCGGCGCAGCAGCGGCAACAAATGTTTAATGAGCAGCACTCGTATCTGGCCTCCCACAACGGGCAACTGCTGCCGGGCCAGCAGCCGCGCCGAAATCTGACAATGCCCGTGCTAAACATCACGGCTCAAATGGGAAATCACGCCTACATGCCATGTCAGGTGAGTGCAGTCGACAGCGCTGGCAAAGCCCACCAGGTGCGGCCCTAATACCAAGGCCCGAGCAGTACGAACATTCATTGCCAACGGCCAAGAAATGTGGGAGTGTGTGTGTGGGTATTCGTGTGGGTGTGCGTGTGTGAGTGTGTGTCAAGTTTCATTTTGCATATGTGTGGAGCTGAAAGCAATATCTTGAGTGGGTGAAACGTAAGCGTAGGCGAGAGTCGATGCCAAACAAACTTCTTCATTATTTTTCGATTATCCTAATATTTTATTTTCTATATTATTGGTATTAAATTTAGATTTAACTTTAGTTTTTTATATGTTGACATCCTAAGCATTAATATTTAAATATTTAAAGTCTTTTATTATGTTTAAGAAAAGGCAAATTAAGCCCAGTATTCATTAAAATTAAATATAATCCAAGCATTAGCCCCTAATTATCCAAATTAATCTGTTTGTTGCATTTATTGTTGCACGAAAAGATTTAATTTCCGTTATGTTTGTTTTGCCTTTGTTTAATACCTTTTTGGTTTAGAACAGTTAAAGTCTTTTATTGTGTGCTCAAATCCGAAATGAACTTACTTTTCATTAAAATAAGTAAATGGAAGCCAAGCTCAGTCCTCAATTATCCAAATTAATCTGTTTGTTGTTTTCTCTCTGTCATTTTCTTTTTGCCTATGTAAAATTCCCTCTGAGGGTGGCATTAATATTTGACAAATTAAAAGTCTCCTATTGCGTGTTGAAAAACAAGTTAGGCTTAAGATGAGTAGGTAGAAGGAGCAAAGGAGTTTAACTTCACATAAATCGTGAATCATTTCTTGGTAACTGTTGGGAATTCACCATTTTGCCTTAATTTTGTTATGGCTGAAGTTTATTCGAGGAAGCTTAAAGCCTAATTCAATTTCACTCCAATATGTCATCCATTACCCTTTCACGCCCATGAATTCCATATTTGCCAAGCAGACAGACTTCGCTTTCGCCTTCGAAATATTTCCCTCTCCCTCTCCATTTGGCAGTTTGTCGCCCGAACGGCATTTGGGCAAGCGAACCAAATTAATGATATGCTCAGTGTCCAGCTGAAGATATAATAATATCCTTTTCAGTCCTCTTCTGATAATATCTAGCTGCTTTTCTATTTTGCTATCCGTTTTGGTTTCCGTTTCGCCGTTTCGCCGTTTCCACATTCCGAGGACAGTACGCAGCTCGAGCTACCTTTTGCCTTTTGCCTGTGGTGTCTGCTTTTTGCTCTCTGGTGTCTGGCGGGCAAAAACTTTGCGCAGAGATCAGCATAATTTCATTTACATATCAACAAATTTATTTTGTTTACGTTCATTTTTATGACGCAAACAGGGCAAACAACCTCTCTGCGACAACTATCCGCCGTATACGTATACGTACACGTATACGTCTCTAGCATTTACCATTTCTACGGCCACCTCCATTCTTGGCTCCTCTTTAAAGGACCTCACACACAGGCATCTCTGCTCCACTCCATGTAAATGTAAATTTGAGGCCTCTTATAATAGTTTCTTTTTCTTCCTCATGTTTTTGTTGACGTTGTTTGGGTTTTGGTATATTGTACAATTCGAATATATGTATGCAAATAAGCAAGGGCTCCATTGCTTTCCTTCGCTTTCTGCTTTTGTTAACAATATGCAAATAGTATTTCATTGTTCCCGAGGTCCAGTTAAAGCGAAATCTCTCTCTCTCTCTCCCTCACTCTCTCTCTCTCTCTCTTTCTCTCTCTTTATTAAATGGCAAGCAAGCATCTATTCAATAGAAGATCTATTTAATTACCCAAGGTATATACGATCGGCATCTCTCAGTAGTTTCGCCTGCTTTTTCATTCGGCTGTCTTGCTGTATAAATTGATTAAACAAAGATTATGAAAACTAGAGAAATATCAGATCATAAAAAAAAAATAATACCATAATCGATAATTATCGATTTTAGATATTATGAAAACTAGAGAAATATCAGATCATTTAAAAATAATAATAATATCATAATCGATAATTATCGATTTTAGATACTAGTTAAATGAAATTACATTTTCTTACGCTCTGAAATTGATCTCTCCGATTTCCCCTTTCCTCTATATATTATAATCTCTACTTACATTCATCATTGATCTTCTGTTCAGATCCATCGCCTATCCGAGAAGCCCGTCTCATGGGTGCGCCTAGTGGATGGTCACATAATCAGCGTGGACGAGACCACGTTCATAGCGGACGAGCGCTTCCAGTCGATATATCAGGAGGACAACGACTACACCTGGTCGCTGCAGATCAAGTACGTCTCTCCCAGCGATGCCGGCTGGTACGAGTGTCAAATGGCCACCGAGCCCAAGCTGAGCGCCAAGGTCTACCTGGAAGTGATCAGTAAGCAGCGCAAATCTATTTCACATCTGAAAATACAAATTGCTCTGGCTTGCAGCGCCGAAGACCGAGCTAATTGGCGACCAGAGCCGCTTCGTCAAGGCGGGCAGCAAGGTGGCCCTGCACTGCATCGTGCGCGGCACTCTGGATCCGCCCAAGTACATCATCTGGTTCCGTGGACAGAAGAAGATCAGCGAGAGCGACGAGCGCACCGGCTGGTACACCCAGATTGATCGTAACATATTCGGCACGGTCGGCGATAATCAGAATACGGTAGGCGGGGTAGGCAAAGGAATCTCAAATTGATTGACAATTTCTTTTGATGCTGCAACTTGACTATGGACTGCTTGTAGCAGTGCTGAAATAATAATCCTGCATTAATTACAGATCGGCTCATTAATTATACCGTTTGTGCGCAAAGAGGACTCCGGCAACTATACGTGCCAGCCATCGAACAGCGAGTCCGTCTCCGTTGACCTGCACGTGCTCAGCGGTGAGTCCTCCCTCAATATTCTTTCCTCAACATATTGATAGTGAAGAGTGTATATACACATACATGTATATGTATATATGTATATGTAGTGGCTCTTGTGACGTGAGCGATTGCGAGTGCGTGTGAATTATTTTGTCAGCAAGTTAAATGATTCATATTAATTGCAACTGTCACACTCACACTCACACACACACACTCACTCACTCACACACGCACATCTCTCTTTTGCCAACAGGTGAATACTCGGCTTCGGCTATCATGTCCGGCGCTGCTGAGCGTAAACAGCGCAGCACGTTTCAATTGCTGTTGGCGTCGCCGCTGCTGCTGGCGCTGCTGGCGGAGGCGCTGGAGGTCCTTGCCGGACTGGGAGCACGTCAGGGGACGTGACTTGTGACGTGACTCGCTTATTGAACAGCCAGGCCGGACTTCAATTATTTGTAAGCTTTTGCACACTGTGCAGTTATGTAATTTAGGTTAGAGATTAATTAAAGATGTCACTGTAAATAGGAACGGCAAGAGGGGGCACAGAGGGTACAGAGGGCAAAGGGGGCAGGAGGGTTGGAGGAGACGGTACAACTTTCTATAATTAAGTTAAACGTTAGCTCACACCTGCAGCGCGTTCGGCTATGCCAATGCGTATGTGTGTGTGTGCGCCTTTCTCTGTGTGTTGTATAAATCAAATTAAAAATATACGATTAAAGTAATTAATTCTAGACCTAAAAAACAAATCAAATGCAGCTCTGAATAAAAGTAACCAAGAGAGAAAGAGAGAGCGAATGTTGTTTGCCATTTACAGTTGTGAAGGAGATCAATAATTAGATTATTGTCAAAGCAGCTAAACTTAAATCTAATTATAATAATAATAAAAAGTAAAAAATACAAATAAAATTGAATTCATGTGAAACCAAGCAAAAGCTTTTTATACTTTTAATTTCTTTTTTTTTCTAAATCTCTTTGATTATAAATAATTGAATGCATGACAGAATTTGCGAAACTTTCATAGAAATTCATCTGCTAAACTAATGTGAATTTCCCCCAGTCTGGAAAATAAATCTTCAAAACGATTATGTGCCTCTCCTTGTTAGGCTTAACGGTAAGCTTTTGGGTTTCCCTATTATTGCATTGATACCTCACCAGCCATTCGAGCTGTATATGATAAATGGATACTTATCACAATGGAGGGCGGAAATGTGCTCCATTCACAACAGGCATGGAGCAGTTTGGCTTTGCTTTGCCCAAAGGATGCGCATAAATAATTTAATAATTTATTATAATATTTTATTTTTTTGGGTCTTTGAAACCCAACCCGACTAAAAAGTGCAAAGCGAGTCCATAAAAAATAAAGAAAAAATCACCGACAGAAAGAGGCAAAAAAGGAATCACATGCCCATAAAATGACGAATTCCAGTCGGCGACAAAGCGGGGCCATAAAGCCTTTAAGGTAGACGCTTTATTTTATTGCAGCGGAAATCACATCTCAGTTAGCCACAAAGCAAGGGTACACAGACAGTAAAAGAGGGAAAGAGAGAAGTAGAGAGAGAGAGAGAGAGAGAGAGGGTGAGGGGAAATGGCCAAAACAGCACGTAAAATTTGTTCAGCAAAGAACAGCGAATAAGCGTAATTTCCAGAGCGAAGCAAAGGAAAAAAAAAGATGATGAGAAAATAGAAGAAAAAGAAACATCTCGGGGCTGTAAATATATTTTACGTTCTACCCGAAGCTGACGACGGAGTGACTGACAGCAAGGACAGCGCCGACTGACGGCCGGACAGGAGCAAGTGTTTGGGTAACTGGAGAGTGCGGAGAAAGCCAAGCATTATGGCCCTAAAAGCCAACCTAGATGAAACCGGCTGACGCTTTGTAGTTTTAAGCAGAGAGCACGAAAGCAACATCCCAAAGTGCATATTAAGTACATCCCCGGCTGGCTGCGTGGGCCACGCCTCTCGCAGGCGAAAAGCTTACTTCAATTTGCCGTAATTAGCTTGCAAGCCGAGCAAAAAGTCGGACACACGAAATGGCAGCAGTTTTTTAATCACTTTTAATGCCAGCTAATAGGCTTATAACTTTAGCTATAAATATTTGATGCAACATTCAATTACGGCGCATTCTCCAGTATTTATATTGCAACTGCGCTGCGTTTGCTGTTCATATTTGACGAAGGAGTCGCAACGCACAGGACAAAGGAGACAGCAAAAAATTGCAGCTTGGTTCCTGCAAAATGTGAAATTTCACTCTAATAGAACGGAGTTGCTCCATTGTAGAGTAATTATTTGTGTGAGTTTCGTTTACATTAGATGTGAAACACAATTTGTTGTTGGCCTTTGTGTCGCAATCAAATTACACGAATAAATTTAGCAGAGGACAACGCCAGATACATCGCAAGGACACTTTAAGTGACTTCCAAAGAATTTTATAAAATATGATACAGTTTGGGTATCTATCTTCTCTTTTTGCTGTTGTTGTGTTGCTGCTCGTTTTTATTTTCGTGCAATGCTCTGGAGAAACAGTTTTTTCTCAATATTTGGATAAGGAGAGCTGGGCAAGTGCCCAGCGTGACTTGTCCCTTTTTGCTGGCCGAGCAAAAAGCTGAAAGATGATGAAAAATAATGACTTCAAAACACATAGGAAGCGAAGGCAAGTGCACAAAATGACATCCTGCACTGACTTGTCGGTCATCGAGCACCACTTCCAGCTGCCTCCCCTTTAATTGTGTTAGCATCGAGGCCAACTTCGCACTGCCCAGCAGCAGATTCAGCTTCTGTCTCTGAATGGGCTGGGAGTGGAAATGTTTTCAATGTCTGCCTCTGCCTCTGCCTCTGCCTTTGCCTCTGTCTCTGTGTGGGCAGTCTGCCGTACCACCCCGCAAGGTCCTCGCTGCCTCGCCCAACTCTCTTTAGCTTTTTGCTGTAAACGAGCGGCTTTTTACATATTTTTTGGCTGCTCGTCTAAGAGACGGCCTTTTCTCTGCTTTACGCCTTCCGCTGTTTGACGTCCAGTATTTCTCAGTCCGCTGCTGTGTGGTCTGCCTGAAAGGCATTTAAGTTGGGTAAAGTATTTCTGGTTTAACTTTGCCGCTTGCAAGCGTCACTCCAGCAGCCACTCCACAGTTTCGCATGTTTTGTTCGGCTGCTGTTCTGGCAGGAGGAGGTTGGTGGGTTGAGGCGGGGTGCGGTGCTGCCTTTGGAGTGTTTTCCGTCGACTCTGGGCCTTAGTTGTGTTTGCGGTTTCGCATTTCGGCAAACAGTAAATAAGCGTGTACAAGCCAAAAGTCCTAAACGTCTAGAGTAAATAAATAAGAGGCAGTTCGACTCTCACCCAATGCTGTTGATGTTGACTCTGGCCTTAAATTCAGTAACGGCTAAAAATACAAAACTTTGACTAATTGAATAAGAAAACTAAGCAAAACAAGCCAAATAAATTTCAATTAGTTCAAATAAATGTCGCATTAAATAAATTGTATTTTTTTTCTTTCAATTGACATTACTGGAAGTAGAGAAATTCATTTTGGCTTTGCCGTTTGTCTTCTTCTCTTTTTGTTCTAAATATACACGACTTCCGTTTCAATTCGATTTCAAAGGTCGAGTTCTGCTAAGAGAATTATTTGCATATCTGGAGGTTTTTGTTTGCTCTTCACCTTTAGCTTTTTGTGGCCTTAGCATCAATGGCAAATTGCGAATTTTATCAGCTGTCTATTTTTACTCATCAAAGCTTCGTGGCGCCTAATTTATTTCCGCCATATTCAAGACTTTTTCTTACATTAAGCGTTTAATTATACGATGCAAATGTAATATCGTATGGTAAGACTATTTTTAATTTCTCTTTACAAATAGCTTTTATATATTTTCTTTAACTGGAACTGCCAAATTAGCTATGCAATGCGATACTAAATCAATTATAGTTCAATTATTTTTACTTAAATAAACATATTTTAATTAAATAACATTTGTCTTCGATATTCACTTAAATGTTGCGCCTTCAGTTGTATCTTGGCTAATTGCAATCAATCTGCAATCTGAAAATATGGGATAAAATCTTAGATAGGATTCAATGTGTAAGCTAAGCAATTTACTAACTTTAAGGTAAATTAACTCAATTATAAGAGAGCCTACTAAGTCTTCACCTTCACTCCTTTTAATAAGAGCATTGACTTACAATTAGATATATATTCTTGAAAGAATTCCTATGGCTGAAATTTAGATTGCCTTTTTATTTACTTTTTATTTTTTTTTATTTTTTTTATATTTATAATTTTATTTTTATTAAAACCATAAGGGGTAACTAGTAACCCCTTTGTGAGCTTTTTAGCTATTAATTCTGCCTATTTGGGCTAACTTATGTTATGTCACAATATTAACAAATATTTACAAATACATATTTACAACACAATACAATAATAATAGTAATTGGTAATAGGTCAACTTCTGTTGACCGTCCTATGGGGAGATCGGAGGATTAAATCCCTTGGCTGCCTTGTGTTGAGCCTCCTTTTCACTTTTCCCAGTTCGATTATTAAAACAAATGATTGTCATTTTTAAGAAAATTACTATTATTAATAAAAATTAAAAATTAAAAAACTATTAATATTTTTAATTAATTATCTTGCCACTGATTTTATTCTCAGCTGAAAAGTATGCAATGCATTTTGAAAACTCTTCAGCAAACTGCTGGCTGCAAAATTTTGGGGCCTTTTGTTTCATCGACCGGGCTTAAAGCAAGCAGTCGAAACGCTTTAAGGCTTGCATGCAAGAGTATGCCATGAGAATTGACAATAGCTTGAGTTTCAAATAAGCTGTGAAAGCTATTGAAAACTTAATGCTTGAGAGGATTATTAGGAAGCAACGCGTTTGCTTTACACATTGCTATGCTTTATCGAATTGCATGCGAAGCGCTCAGAGTTGACGAAGATAAATGACATGCGGCGAATCCAATTCGATTGGCATTAGCCTCATCAGCCTAGGCAACTGGATAAAAGGCAGCCAAGGCTGCCAGGTGGCTCTCAGCTACCTATGCGAGCTGGGTGCTGTGCGTGTGCGGTGCAAATTGCCCGGTCTGGCTCGGTCTGCGAATGCAAAGCATTATCAAGAGCATTTGCATTGGGAATGCGGCCTGGATGCTGTCGCCGCCACAGAGTATCAGCCGCGGCCCCTACGGCCTATCGGCGCTATCTGCGGTGCTTTGGCGCGCTGCGAGCATAGGGTGTGCGACCAGGCTGGGCATTGTATTGCCGTTATTAGTGGGGCTATTAGTGCTGATAGGCGCAGAGGCCCGTTATAAATACATATTTGAAATTGGCAGCTGCACTTGCCCGCCTGCAGCTGGACTGTGCCTGGGAGCACTTAACGGGAAATCCAATTTGTGGCCACGGCTGCAGCGCAAACAGGCTAAATGGCTAAGTGATGGCAGCATTTACTTTTGCATGAATAACTTATGCTGTATAAACGAAGCGCACGTGGCGTATGCTCAACATACACACAGACTCTTATGTAAACTGACAAGCCAAGCAAACAACGGCAAAAAACAACAGCCGGCTTGACAACAGCATCATCAACATCATCATCATCAGCAGCAGCAGCAGCAGCAGCATCATCTTCATTCGTATCCGAATTCGTGGCCAAAGTTCGGTAAAAACTATGGGCCAACACTGAAGCGCTTTATACA